ATTCAAAGAACCTATTGCAATAAAACGGCAATTTCATACTTTAACCCATTGACTTACAAATAAATGGACGACGGGTCTAATACAAAAACCACGAAAAAAAAGTCCCAAGTCAACCTATTCGAAATTTAAATTGTTATGTCATCGCAGTATCGCGCTGTCCGTAGAACAAATGAAGACTAAAGCGGAGTGTCGCGCTCTGTATACGATTTTAGCGCTTTACAAGTGCGGACACTTTTTAGCGCGGACCCGACGTCCATATAATTGTAAGTCAATGCTTTAACCCCTAATATGTAGGCTATTGTAATAGATAGTTCAGGGAAATTAGCAAATAAATAAGTTGCTTTTTCCTTTGTAAAGTGTTACATAGCTCTATCAATATATTTATTTATTTAAACTTTATTTTACAAAACACTGAAGTACAAATGGCGGACTTAATGCCATAAGGCATTCTCTACCAGTCAACCATTAGGCCAAACAGAAAAAAAATTCTTGTCTTGATTTTGACAGTTGTCAAGCAGATGGTCGCGCAACATGCGCTTGAAAGATAGTTTGGTCTGAGCTTGTCTTACATGGAGCGGGAGCGCGTTCCAAAGACGGATGGCATTAAGGGTAAAAGATTTACAGAAAAAATCAGTGCTGTGAGAAGGAATAGAGAGCTTAAGGCTACGGGAAGATCGAAATCCGCATCCCGGCCGAGCGGTTTGAAATTGAAATGAACATTTAAGCTAATCAGGTGCAGCTGAGTCGAACAAGATGAAGAAAAGAGTGGTTAAAATTCTTAAGGACCTGGGTTCGCGGATGGGAAGCCAGTTTACTTGACGACGAAAAGCAGAGATGTGGTCATACTTCCGCTGACCAAAAATAAACCTAATGCAGTTGTTAAGAAGACGACCTAATCTGTTCAAAGAGACTTGAGAGATGTTACTGTAACACACGTCAGCATAATCAATCACAGACAACACTAGAGCTTGAACAAGAAGATTTATAATCAAAGATTTCTGCCAATGTCAAGAGTTTAAGGAAAACTTAACCGGTTTCTATGGCAAACATCCTTAGAGGATGGAAAAAAGCAAACATCACTGAGAATTTTTATGTTGCCTGACAAAGCACGGATAATGTTAATATATTATTAGTTTCCATCTTTTGACACACATAGTTTAAAATATGATGAATACCAGAGCTTAGAATCCAGAATTACGCCTAAAAATTTAACGTGATCGCTAACCATGTTAGGTAATGGTTGAAGTGGATATGTAGGTCTTGAACATAACAGCATTACTTTTTTCAGCCGACAAAGAGAGGCTGTAGTCCGATAGCAAGGTAGAATTGAGGTAATGTAAGACAGAATTAAGATATTGAGTAGTTTTTGAGAAGGCTTTGGAGGAGAAATACAAAGCTATAGATACCATTGACATATACCTAGTAGATATCAAGACAATGGGTTTGTAAGAACTAGAACTACCTGGGTTTAGTTTTAAGAGCGGTATAATAGTCTGAGATTTCCAACAGAAAATGAAATATTAAGAATGTTTTATAAAAAAAATCGCAAAGAATAAGTTGTAGGTTTCGAGCTTTGGGTCAAGAGCTACCAAGGACAAATATACTCTCACTTTAACACTCCCCTTAGAGTAACTAGATACCACCACTAATACAAATATTCATCTCGGTGAGAATTGATAAGAAAAACCACAAATTATCGCAATTCAAACTCGGGAAATCTGGGAATCCAATTATTAAATTAGAAGAATGTTTTTAACTACAACAATGACACTGTACAAATAACTGAGGTAATCATTAATTTATATTATTTTGACTAAGAACAAAATATCAGATTATTTACAAAAATCGCAACGATGTTTTAGCTGCCTGTATAAGTTTAAAATAGGTTACATGAATATTTTCATTATATTTTAATGATTTTTTAATATATTGTTCAAATAAATAAATAAATACAGTACAATATAATAAAAATAATATTATTTTACGGTAAAATGACATTACAGGGCCGATTTTGTGTCAACACAAAGATATGTATATTACAGAACAGACGTAAATCCAGTGTTAATATTGTAATGAATTTCTACCGTTAAAACTACCTTATTTTGTTGCATATTTCAACATTATTTATTATACATTAATATGTTAATTTTGTCAATACAGTGTACCTGCAGTCGGTGTCGCTTGACGGTCAAGGGCTACTTATTGACCTTTTATCGCACTAGACAGACGACGTTATACTGTTGGTACAACTATATTGGCTGTATTCGGGAACAAGCTTAATTAAATGTTTAATGTTTGCTTAAGTTATGTTGCAAGGTGTTTGTGCTACAGGTGTAAAATAAGAAGACAGACGAAGAGTTTTGAAATTCAATGATTGAGAGAGGAGACTTCGAAAAGCATCACTTTTGATTTGCAACATTTATTACATCTTTCTCGATTTGTCTATGTTTTATTTACACAATACGTGAACAAATTGCTGAAACGTAACGGTGAAAATACGTATAGATATAACCTGCAATTGAAAAGTGTACTAAAATTCATCCAAATGATGTTGACTTTCGTGAAATGAGCAGAAATTTCGTGCACTGTGATCGTACTAGTTCGCGATGTTTACCATTTAAAATGTGTAAAAATATTTTTGGTTACTTTGAGATCATTTTAACGCTGACTGTATGTACACCATACTAAACACGTGGTAATGTAGCTTCATTTTAGAAGCGTACATTTGCTTTTGTATTAGGGGACAGTGTATGTTGTTAAGCTCAGATTAAATTATCTGGGTTTCCTGATGCCTTGCAATACATCAGGTTCCAGAATTGTTATCGTCATAGCATCGCATCGGCGCAGGCGTTGTGGAGGCAACGCGTCGCCTACGAATCCTACAATGCGGCGATGAAGGCACACCGCGCATGTGCAAAAGAGCTTTATGTAACCGCGGGCCGATCCGAATCCAAGCACGATCCATGGCTAACGGTTCGCTAGCAAACTTTACTCATTCATCTTTTCCCTGAAAGCGGGGTGAGGGGCCCGGGCCGCGCGCTGCGCTACTCCGCGCGCGTTACATAACGTGGTGGCGGAGGGCGAAGCCGATTCCTACTCGAGCCGCCCTCGCGCGCGGACCTGTGTCGGTGCCCGACGCCCAAAGACGCGTTATCTCGAACTCGCGTCTTCGTCGCATTCCCTATTGCGTGCTGCGAGTTAGTTCGACACCGCGCGTTTTCTATCTCGAACCTCTTTCTAGCCGCGCTTACTTTTGTTGGGAACACTTTTCGGCACTCTTGCGACCTCCCAAACTTTGCCGCTGACTCTTAGCTTCTTACTTCCAGGGAAGGCGGTAAGCCATTGTTTACAATATTCTCGTTTTTGTTGTCACTCGCCCTGCAAACTCATTATATAACATTTTCTCGCCGCTTCGGTTGCTGTCATCTATGTTTCATTCCATTGTCTTTGTGCGATTCTAGCTGTGCGCCGTCTCAATAAATGTTTCAACAACTTACTGTGTTTCGTATACGCAAAATAACGCCAGTTTAAAACTTTTTCTCGGGTGATTGATTACCGCGGTATGGCAATAACACGCTTTCGTGTTTTGCGGAATGGTTATTTTTCACTTTGCCCAATTACAGGGTGTATCAAAAGAGTCAAATGACGTAAGCAGGTCAACAAAAAAACTTACTTTCATTTATTCTACAACTTTTGGCAATTTCCAACGTTTTTGACATACTTTTTATATAATTTTCTTAGAGCGGTTTCAAACTTTGTATAGAAATATTTTTTTCTCTTTCTCCTCTTAAAACATTAATTTTATATTAATAGGTATAACAATTAGATTTTAACCGTTTATTTTACCATTTTAATATATTCACAATATTTTATTTCGTATTTAACGTCAACGTTACGTCACGCTTAGAATCTAATTAAATGTAAAAAGCAATATGTAAGTAGTATATAAATAAAGGTAAACTAACCATATTAACCAAAATATGAGCTTAAACTTTAATGCTCTTAAATACGTTACTCATTGTATTCTTAGTTAGGCGGGTTTTGTAAAAATCGCGTAAAACACTTTACCGCCTCTTGGAAACGTTATTGCTGGCAAACACGCTAACATGACAATGTGTAGTTGTTACCTTTTCCCTGTACCTTAAAATAAAATATATTTCTTATGTATAGTATAAGAAATTGAATATATTCTTTAGTACATAATTGTATTCAATTTCCATTGCGAATAACACTGCTGAAGCTATGTACATCATTGACATTAATGTTGTTCGAACCTAACACCGGATTTTTAAGCCTAAAATCTTTGGGACGCTGAGTAAAACGAATTAAGTGAGTATTTTTAAGTTGTGAATAAAAATAATACAGCCTAAAAACATTTCACTTAATTCGATTTCAATGTGTACAAATTCCGTAGCACATCGCCGTAATTCTTAGAGATAGAATGAAGTAGCTGTCATTATTGCACGGCTTCAGCGATAGCATGAAGGTCGGAGTTCATGATTAATGTTTTACAGCGGCCTCATCTATACGTTGCGCCTTATATCTGTTTGAAAAGTCAGTTGGCATTGTTCCGAGAGTGTATGTAGGAATGTTAGCAATCTTCCCGCGTCGCAATCCTGTTTGATTTCATAGCAGCAAAATTTCAGAGAAATCTTATTTAAAGTAATTATTTATCACATGTGTAATAATCGCGTTCGTGTTGTATGTTTAACAATTTTAGTGAGTGGTGACGTCACGTGCAAACAATGTATGTTTAATAGATGTTTCCTCAAACGCACGGCTTTTTTGGCGGCTGGTTCTTTGTAGCCTAATTAGAATTGGGCTTGGGCAAAACTGAAGCATCCCGATGTGCTTAATGAATAAGGAACCAATCGATTGAAACTTTTGAGAGTGTAACAGATGTGTATTCTAAATATAAATATCGGAAATGCTTTTCATTTTCCTAAATACGTAAAAGCTTTCCGGAAAAGCGTTTCGAACGCCGTTCCTTATCCGGCAGTACGGTACTTACTATAAACAATGCACTATTTTTTATAAATATGAATTGTAAATGTTTATCATTCTATATCCAAAAGTATTTCAGAATATTATTAAATAATTTTTTGTTCAATAAACATTCGATACAGTGTTACGTGATTAAAAAAGTTTGCAAAACGTGTAAATATTCTTACTGTTCCGTGGTTTATTGGTAATACGCAAAGAATTTTAATTCCGCATTCAGATGTTCCCCGCAGCGGCCCAGGTCACGAACCAATTTTAACCTTTCGTCTTAGGATGCCTGCATCAACCCCTTCTCGCCTCAATTTGTACCAATATTGTTTTTCCCCCGAACTCGGGGAACAACGTGAGTCTCGTAATCTCAAATCTTTGATGGATTCATTAGAATTAGGTCGAAAGTTCTTCTAGCTTCTGTTGACTTGCATTTCTTTCTCCACGGAAACGAATCTTTTTACCTAATTTAAAATTCCATTTCTATCTACGTGCTACTATTTCTTATAAGACAACACATTCATAAGTTGATTTTATTCGTAGATGACTTAATTATAAGATAAAACAATAAAAGAGTTTAATCAAATTTTACCTTCATTATGGTAAGTATGATTTGCTTAGGTTATTGCCATATTCAAAATATCAGGCACCATTTACATTGTACATCCTTAAGAGCATCCCCAATTTTATAAAGATAATCGTGCTTATCTGTTTAGTTACCACACTTTACTCCCTTAATTTCTCAATGTAAATTTCAATATAATTTCTAAATGCCGTTTACTAATCACTTAGTTGTATTGATTGCTTCTCTAGTAGCTCGCGGAAATAATAATAATAATAATAGTAACAGTAACGGTAACGGTAAAGGTAACGGTAAAGGTAACGGTAACAGTAACAGTAACAGAAACTGTAACAGTAACAGAAACTGTAACAGTAATAGTAACAGTAACTCCAAAATTATTCCAATTTAATCTTTTAGGCCTTGGGAAAGGCGAGTCTAAAATAGATATAATAATAATAATATAATAATAACAAAAACAGTAACAATAACAATAATAAAGACAAAATGGAGGGAGAGGCCTGATAGACATCAGGTCAGTCGATTTAAAACATACTTTCACACAAAATATTTTTTTTTATTTCTTTATTTATATTCAGGTTACTGAGACCCATAGATACATACCTTACAGACTAACATACATAACAATATAAAATAACTACTAATTTAACACGTATTTAGGTTGTCGGCGACGTGTGGCGCCATCTGGTGTCAGGCAACCGGCCACGGAATCGCCGGTATAGGACACCCTTCGGCCAGAACTCCTCCTTCATGAAGGTCGACAGATGTTCGGTCGGCACTCTCACCACAAACGAATTAAAGTTCACGTAGTGGCGGGACTCCAACCGCTCGACCCTCAGGGTGTATTTGGATTTCAACCTGATGTACTCCACTATCTCCTCAGACTTCGTGGAGTAATGCAGGCGTGACAGGTACAGCAGCGTTGTCGGGATTGCCGGACGCAGCAAAAAGTTGGACCCTGTCGGTGCAGTGCCGCACAGGTTACGGCTGGTGGGCTTCCTCTTCTTCTTCTCCACCTTTGTGAAGCCGTCATCGTCGCACCGGTCCGTCTGCCTCTGTGGTTTTGCAACTTCAGAGACAGGTACACGAGGTTTTTTCATCCCCTTCGTTGATAGCTGCCTGGCTTGTGGTTGTGGAGCAACGGGTCGGTTAACAGCTGCGACAGCGGCGTAATCACGTGGAGGGGTCAACGTGTTTACGCGTGACGTCTCCGCCGGAGCGGACAATCGAGGGTTGGGGCGCGGGGAATCGCGCTCAGCGACAGCGGTCGGTGACGCATCCATATGGGCCGACTCAAAACTGCCGATAGATGCATTATGTGCCCCGCGACGAGTATTCACGTTACAGGCCTCGGGTGACCTACTTACCGAAGTTGCACTACTCAGTAATACAACTTGGGCACGTAACTCACAGATGGTGTTATCCGAAGCCTCCAATTTACATTGAACTTCGGCCAGACTTGCTTTCAGGGATGTGATGTCCTTAAGCAGCCTAGTGAGATCGACATGGTCGAACGTGACAGGGGGCAGCTTGTGCAGCTCCTTTGCCACGAAAGCAGGCACGTCGTCTGGGTCGGTTTCCTTTAACATCGTTATAATGTCCTGGATACTCTTCGTTCCTCCATCCCTCCGGCGAGATGGCATCTGCTCAGCCTTGCCAAGCACACGGAAAAGCAGCGCCTTGCCACTGCAAATCTCATCTTCTTTAAAGTTTGATTTGCAGCTCTGCATGATGCTGACCTCGTCCATAGTGTCGATGGCGTGTTGTATGAACGCCAGCAGTTCATTGGCTATGAGTTGTTGGGAACCCATAGTCAATTACGCGCAGCGGTCATTACCGCGCGGATCGCGAATTAATATAATTCTTACTGTGTGAGCACGTCCGAATCTGAGCGTGCATCGCACCGGACTGAAATCATCCACTAGTAACATACATAATGCCATAGTTCTAAATGATCACAATTACACTCCACTTAACTTAAGTGAACAAACAGATACACAACACGTTGATAGTGATGACCCGCAAAAACAGAAGATCGAAGACTGGAAGAAAAAAGTGTTGCACGGCCGATATCCCCATGATTTCGAACAATCACACGTTAACACATTAGCATCGAATAAGTGACTTAGAATAGGTAATTTGTTCCCAGAAACTGAAGGATTCATAATTGCAATACAAGATCAGATAATTAACACTAAAAATTATAGAAAATATATAATAAAAGAATCACCAGCAACAAACGATAAATGTCGCAAGAGTCATATTCAACCAAAAATTATTCAGCACGCAGCATGCGCAGCCCTTGCACAAACAGACTACATCATAGACACAACCAAGTAGCAAATGTCATTCACCAGAAACTGGCTCTCAAATACGCACTCATACAATTGTTATCCCAATCGTTATTTCCACAGCAAGCATTACTCCTAATCATCTTCTCCATAGCCTTAAATTATTAAGGTGTAAAGAAACCCTCTACATAACCTTGCAAAAAGTTGTGATTTTAAATACATGCCGCATCGTCAGAAAGTTCATGCAGATGGAAGAGGACGAAGTAGGATCTTATTACACACCCACATGTGCAAAAAAATATCTTGATAATAATAATCACTAATAATGAATAATAAATAACCCACCACGTACTCGTAGATACATGCCATACTGCATTTACTTGACGTAGGTCCGTAAATGTAGTTCAAACCAGCTTAGAAGCTGAGAACACTAAAGTAAATAATAATAATAATAATAATTAATAATAATAACGC